GGGTATGGGGAAGAGTACACAGCTTCGTCAAGGAGACAGTAAGGCAGAAAATGCAGTCTGGACTATGGCTCTGCAGGGTGAGGACACAATTGTCTGACAGTAGTTCTGAGTCAAGTGTACACGGCTTGTCTCAGTCTACGTCAGAAATACTGGAAACACCTCACGCTAACTCTGTCAGATAGTTAACTAAAATCTACCTCAGGCGGGCTAGCTGTACCTCTGTGAGAAGACTGCTGACCTAGCATACACAACGCCCTGGGTTCTACCCCAGGCTCTGTACAAACTGTGAAGTGGAGTGGAGTGGAGCACACCTAATCCCAGAGACAGGAAGGTCAGAGGTTCAAGGTCATCCTGGGCTACAGGCTTAGTTCTAGGTCAACCTGGGATCCTGTCTTTAAAAACAAATTAGCTTCAGTCAGGCAATGGTGGTGCACACTTTTAATTCCAGCACTCGGGAGGCAGCGGTAGGAGGAGCTCTGTGAGTTTGAGGCCAGCTTGGTCTACAAGAGCTAGTTCCAGGGCAGCTGGGGCTACCCAGAGAAACCTTGTCACAAACAAATAAACAATAACAGAAAAAAATTAGCTTCAGTTGCTATGGTATCTAGGCAACAGTCAAAGCAAACATACCTGTTCTCCCTCCACTGTTGTAAGATACTGAGATGCCAAAGAGAAAATAAATGAGCTGTCATGTTAATACTATGACAACAGAAGAGGCAAGCGGATAGTAGTCTCCCTGTTTAGGACAAAATGGAAGGACCGGCACCGTCAAATACCCAGCGGTTTTCTGTAAGTGGCAAGGCTGGAAACCTTCATGTCCTTCTTCAAGCACTCAGTACTCCCCACATTTTTCTGAAGTGATTATCAATTAGTGAGCATATAAGAAATGGAGAGGGCAAGGCTTCCCATGGGGAGTCAACAAAATCTGCCACATCACTCTGAGGCAGGACAAAGGCCCTCCCCCTTAGAGGAGCGGGTGGGGGGGTGGGTGGAGGGGAGAGGGTGGGACTGGGATAGGTATGGATAATGAGAACAGATAAGAAAGATTAAAAAAGAAAAAGGAGAAAGAGAACTGGAGAAACGCCTCAGTGTAAAGGACTTAACTACGTAAGCCTGGTGACCTGAGTGTGGATCCTCAGAACCCAGGTCAAGTTGGACAGTAGCCTCATCTGGAATTCCAGTTCTCGCTCAAGTGAGAGAAGGCGGAGACAGGAGACCCCAGAAGCTCAAGAGCTGCCTACCCTGGTGTATGCTGGCACCATCAAGAGGTGGAGGGTGAGGACAGACACTGATGTCATCCCCTGACCTCCACACACATGCTGTGGCATATTTTCACACACATGCACAAAAGAAACAGGAAGAACAAACAGGGTGCAGCATGCAGAGAGGTGACAATTTGAGTAACATGGTCAGGGAGGGCTTCGTGGAGGAGGCGGCACACACCACAACTGGGAAGGGGCCAGCACCGAAGTCATGGGAGAAGCTCGATGATGCACCTGTGTCTAGGACAGGGCAGGTCACAGGGCAGATGCTTGGACTGTGTTTGTCTAGTTAATATACAAGCTAAGGAATGAATGCATACAGGAAAAACTGCTAGGGCCCTAGACTAAGTTTCAAAGGTCCTGATGAAGCTTGGCGCCCCTGGGGAAGTAATGAGTCTGTGCCTGGGGACAGGACTCAGATGCTAGGGGAGCAGCAGCAAAGAGATGCAGAAGGCCCAGGCCCTGGGTTGAGCAGAGCCTTGTAAATCGGCTCCAGGTGACATCATAATCTGCTGGTCAGCCTAGGTGTGTGTGTGTGTGGTCAGCCACTTCAGCCCCAACAGTGTGTGTGTGTGTGTGTGTGTGTGTGTGTGTGTGTGTGTGTGGTCTGTAGTCATGGTCTGCTGGTCAGCCTGGTGTGTGTGTGTGTGTGTGTGTGTGTGTGTGTGTGTGTGTGTGGTCAGCCACCTCAGCCCCTCCAGTACTTTCCTCACACAGGCCTGTGTGGGCACGAGGACACCAGATGGCAAGGTCACCGCAGCAGCAGGATTGCTATGGAAGCTCTAGGACAGGCTCCTGTCCTTGGGAGAAGGGACATCTGATTTAATGCAGAGACAGCAAGTGACAATAGCCACCAGTGCTGGGAACCTGACAGCAGGTTTTCATACACTGTTTCCTTTGTCCTCACTTTGAGGAGCTTATCTTTCTGTCACAGATAGGGCTGGGGGAGGCTTGGTAGCCTGCCACAGCATGAGGCCTCCTTCATCCATCTCCACAACCTGAAGAGGAGGTGCAGGGAGCTGGGCCCTGCTATTGTAGGCAGAGGTGGGAATGTGTTCTGTTTGGGGACAAGGGCTGGCACAAAACAAGTGAATCATGGCTTCTCTGCGACAAAGCAGATGTGACTACACTACATGGGTCTGAAAAAGAATGTCCCAGGTTTGCAGTATTAACCCACAGCGGCGCAGTCAGGGCCAGAGGCCTTGGGAGCATCCAGGCTGAGTCCAGGGCTGGAAACAGGGCCAGGTGTCACCTAGGGGGTGGGGGCTGGGAAGAGGGCTTTGTGCTTACCTGAGGGCAAATCCCAAGCAGTCTGTAAGAAAGAAGCTGGGCATGGCTTCCTAGGCCTCTAATTCCAGCACTGAAGGTCAGAGGCTGGGGAGACAGGAATGCTGGGCCTTGTTGGCTAACCTACCCCCGGGTTCAAAGAGAGATCTTGTGTCAAGGGAATAAGGTGAAGAATGGCAGACACAATAGGACACGTGACGTCACTGTCCTCTGCACATACACATCCTCACCCCCACACAGGCGTCAGCAGGTGACCAGGTGAGTTCAGGAGAGACACTGGGGGGCGGGCCACATCTCAGGGCCTTCCCACCCTTTAGAATACACTGGTTCCTACCCTCTGGGCTCTCGGTCTCCCCAAAGTCATGCATCCTCAGAAAACAGGCTCATGTTGATGGTCTAGAGCAATGTACCCCACACACTCCGGGAAATGGGTCATTTTAAGCTTCAGTTTGTGTGCGTCTCAGGGTAGCTGTGCTTGTGAATAAAGTACTTGCCCTGCATTGTGTGGAACAGACAGAAAGCTGGGTGACAGTGCCCTACAATCCAGTCCTTGGGAAGCAGAGACAAGGGGTCCTCCGGGCAAACTGGCTAGCTAGACTAGCTAGAATCTGGGAGAAGATCTGGGTTCAGCAAGAGATCCTGCCTCAATGAATACAGTGGGCTATCACGGTTGACACCCGACGTGAGTTTCAGACCCCTACGTGTACCTCCCCACCCCCAACTCACACGCGTATTTGAATGTGCAAACACACACACACCACACACTTAGAAAAACCGGTTTCCTATGGTAACATCCTTTTTGAAATGTGGGAGTACTAAAAAGTCGGCTAAGGAAAGCAGACTGTAACGTCCCCAAGCACAGGCCATCACTGCTATGGGGCCTTGAGACATTTCTGTCTGTTCAGAGTTGGCCCTGGGCACGGGTGGTGACTCCTGAGCTGGGGAGACCTCTGCTGCCTGGCACTGGCCTCCTCCAGCCCACAGGCAACTTCTTGATGCTCACCATGCTTGAGGAAAGCCTGGGACTAAATAGTGGTTCCCACTCTTCTCTGGGAGGGCTGAGAGCAGGAGCAGTAGGGGGCCATGAAGGGCCCTCTGCTTCTCCCTGGGCAGCCCTTCCTCCGCAGAGAACAGCAACACCCACCCCACCCCACTACATCCCTCGTTTTCTTCTAATGACCTAAGACTTTCTTGTTGGCACTCCACTCCCACTTCAGGAAACCTGAAGGCTAGGCCCGGGGCAGAAATGCAAAAAGGACTAGCAACCAGGACACCGCTGAGCAGGAGCGGGCGGAAATCGTCTACGTCTGCCCAGCAGGTCAGAGAAAATGGTGCTCCAAACCACAGAGCCACCGCAGCTTATCAGACAGAGAGGGTTGGATTTGCTTCCTTTCTCAGCCGGTGGGTGGCAGGCCCCGGTTTACAACCTAAATTTCTTGAGCCTTGGTCCTTTCCTAACATAGTTCTAAAAGAATCAGACTCACGCAGGGCCAAATAAAAGAAAACGGGACTCAAGGTTGGGAGTACTGAATCCAAGACCTAACTTTGCCGCTAACCAAGCCTTTTCCGTGTCCAGTTTCTTCACCTGCTCCCTCGGGAAACTGCTTCTGGCCTGGTGGTATCTGATATCCTCCCTGGTACCCACCCCTCCACTTCTCTGGTGACTCCGCACAACCTTTTAGGGGCAGCCTGAGAATCGCTAATCGCTCTGCCAAGGTGGAGTTCAGCCCTGGGCACTACCCTAATCGGTGTACTGCCTGCACACCGGACCTTCGCACGGAGCCCAGGGGCAAAGCCCCTGCTCCTCGCGCGCAAGTCCATCGGTGCTGGGCAGTTGCACAGTTGCTAGCGCGCTGATTCCCACGCCCGCCAGCCACCCGCCTTTGCTCTTGCACACCTAGGCGCCCGCACACTCGCGCCGCAGGAGTCCCAGAGCCTGCTGCGCGCCCCCCAAGGGTCGGGTGGGCGGTCCCCCAAACCCCGCGCCCCGGCCCTGCGGTGACAGGCCAGCCCTGCCCGGCGCCCAGC